GAAAGAGTTTATAACAGAAAAGACTTTCAGGCAGGATTGAGCAAGTTAACTCATGAGAGAGGAAGAATGTTTACTCTGGAGAGGTAGAGGCGGAGAAGCTAGTAAAAAAAAGGATATCCAAAGTTATTTATTTTATGCTAAAATTTTAGCAGAAGAATTTTGAGGGAATCAACAAAGATACAAAAATGAGCAGTTGCTAAGTATGTTCCGTTAATTCAATTTCAATAGGTGGGCAGAACCACCAGTTGCCAAATAATTCCAGGAAAGTTTAGAGATTAAAAAAGGAATGCGTATAACAAATGGTAGACATAAGAATGCAGAAACTGCTTAATGTTGAAGTAAGACCAACATGCCTTTAAATGCACAATAGTTGCTTCATTTGAGAAAGGAATTGGTTAATGAACTTTACTTGGAGAAATATCTATAAGGGAACAGAGGAGGTTAGCAGTATGTTAAAAACAAAACAAAAACTGTGCAGAACAGCTGGAAATCATAAGTAAACACCCACATCAACTGATGCAGGTTCAATTAGAATGTGATTTAAAAAAAAAAAAAAAAAAAGGTCTGCTTTGGAAAGAGAGTTAAATAATTCAAGCAAACAGTTCATTAGAGAGACAAAACCAAGCAGGTAATCAGAGGACCAAAAGGCAGTCAATGAGCATGACAAATTATCACCGGGGTGGGGGTGGTGTATGCTGCAGGAAAGGGGAAAAAAAACATGTTAAAACATATGCTAATTAAGCCAACTTCATATCCCAGTGCAGAGAAGCCCTTGGCTACTGACTCCAAATGAAAAAGGCTAACAGCAATGTTCTACTTTAAAAAGGGGGAGAATGTTCAGTTAGCCAGGCCCATCTTAATTGGGTCAAATTTTGGACTTGTCTCTTTGTAGATGTGTGTAAAGGAGGGGAAAAATCAGCTAAACAGATTAGGCTCTCTATTTCTGTAGTCCTACATAGACCAAGCTGTGATGAGAGATGACATAAGGGTTAGCATTCAAAGAATGCAAGGCCTTTGGTGCTACAAGTTTAGCCTCAAGGACTTCATTGCTTCTGCCTGAACAGCTAGGTGTTTAAACACTGAACTACGTTGCCAGACTAGGAATACACTAAAAGTTTTAGCAGCACTGAATTGTAGAGCAAACACTACTCCCACTCTCCCTCACACACAGCTTCAACGTAGATGGGGAGCAACAAATTAATGAAGGAAGATTTAAGATTCAGCCTGTGGCAGACAGCACAAAACAGACGATGATGCAGGATCAAAGAGCAGACAAAAGATACACCAAATGCAGACAGATACAACATTTATACTAATTTCATAGTACTACACATGATAGCAATGCTGAAGCAATATACCAACTAGATTGGCCATATAGGAAATGTAAGTAAAAACCAACAACTACCTTATCCTCATTAAGAGGATCTGCTTTGTATTATTCTCTTTCAAAAGAACTACACTGATGTAGAGTTAGAAGATCAGGCCCATAAAACACACACACGTGGAGATTATTAAGTGGGAAAAAAAAAAGAAAAATGCTTCTGTTAATTTTTAAAAGGAACAAACTGATCAGAAGCTAAATCTAACAACAAAAAAACCCCACATAACATGGGTTCTACAAATACATTACACGCTATTTTGAAGACTGCATTTTGATCATTATGAATTAAAAATCAATAAAATGGCATAACTATCTAACATGTTTCCTGGTTAAAATCTGAGGATGGCATAAGACACAAAAGAGACTGTGGAACCGTTATCCTCAAATCATCCTAGGACTAGATTAAAACATTTACCACACAGACTTGAAAGATAATAAAATCAATCTTATCAGTACATGGGGGCCTGAACTAGTAACGTATTGTTTACATAGACGTAGAAGGTTACTGTTCAAAAGAACTGGTAGCACAATCATTTTCTTTATGTCCTAATTCACAGGCTCTTGTTTTGGAGCACACAAAAACCCCTGCAGCACAGTGAGTCAGACTACCTGTGGAGAGAAAATAATTAACCTACTAACAAAACTTCCTCCTGTAGGAGATGGTAAAGAGATTTCCCTTGAGAGGGAGGAAGTCAATTAACATTTGAAAAGGCCTTACCAACAGAAAGCCTGTTTACCTACACCTGATCTCTTTGAAAAGGCAAAAGGTGCTAAAAATACACAGACTGAAAATAGCTGTTTGAAATGGAATAATATCCTTTGAAAGGTTCAGAACACATATCCACAGGTTAGAGTGAAATATTGCAGTGGACAGTTGTGAGGAAAGTTATAGGTGCAGTGACATCTCTAGTACAGAGGCTACATAATTTCAGCATGCACTAGTAAGAAGTGTTCACAACATGTCAAAACGCTGATATTCTGTAATTCTGCAGAATTGCCCTAAGGATTCGTCCCTGATTGCTACACACGTCTCCGGAATCTTGGCCTACATGAACAAATAAATAAAAGCTTAAACTCTAACCCCAAGATTACAGGCGCAACCTTGAAAGTCTGATATAGTAAAACTGAGCTCTGCTTTTCCTCTTTTCCCCCATCTTGCTACACAAGCCAGTCCAATCTGTCATTTCTGTCTTCTAGACCTCACATGGGTTTTTATCTTGAGATCATTAAGGCTACAGCCCTTCCTGCAGCCTGAAAACAAAGTGAGCTGCAGGTAAGGGCATGACACAGGGCATTTGTCATCAGAGCCATAACACACACTATGCAAGATGAGGATTCAAAAGAGCCTGGACAGCCTGTCTTGAAATATTAAAAATACTGAAGAATTCAGATGCATCTCAGATCTACTGCAGGGGGAGAACAAACTCAGTTGCATTACAGATTTCACATCCATTACCTTTTCAATGCCACAGAAAATCACATAGTACCAATCTGAATTCCCGATCTTAGAGCAAATGCATCTTACTTTGCACTTTGAGGAACCTACATGCTGCCCAGTTAAAACACTCTTCTTCAAAGCCTCACAGAAGAACATGACTACTAGTCCTCAGCACTCACACATAACAGCCTGACAGTTTTTACTTTCACTCAGTGATAAGTCAAATTCTCATTACTTGGTAGAATATGCCATCTAGAAGGATTACTGTGCCATACTTCATTTATAAAGGTGCAAAAATCAGCATACTATTTAGAAACCCTAACAAAAACCATAAAAGTTCTCCCCCGCCCCTGCCAAGCAGCTGAGTTTCACCCACATACCTGTTGCTTCTTCATCAAAGCAAGCAAAAGCATTCCTGATTACGTCCTCCGGATCGGTGCCATTTAACTTCTCACCAAACATTGTGAGGAACATAGTGAAGTTTATGGGGCCTGGAGCCTCATTCATCATGGCATCTAGGTATTCATCCGTTGGATTCTTTCCTACAAATAAAGGGATTCATATTTGGTTTAGCTTTCAAACTAAAAGAAAAAGTAATCTGAATAGTGTAATACAAACTAAGACATCTCTCATAAGCCATCCCAAACTCAATTATTTTAATTATAACAGCACAAATTTGTTTGGCAAACATAAACAGAAAAGTGACATTACCAAGGGAGGCGAGCATATCATGCAAGTCCTCTTTGTCAATGAAGCCATCCCTGTTCTGGTCAATCATGTTGAAGGCCTCCTTGAATTCCTGAATTTGCGACTGATCAAACATTGCAAATACATTGGAAGTGGCACGCTGAGGGCGCTTCTTGGTGGTCTTTGTCTTTGCCTTTTTGCTAGACATGTTGAATTTTGGACACTAGGGAGAGAAGTAAATACAACAGGATCAGAGTTAGGACTTAAAAACCCCCTGTACTAGGGTTTAACATTAAAGTTCACACTTCCATTTCCTCTCATCAGAACATATTTCCCTAATCAAGAAGGGAAAAAGAGAAGCAGAAAATACAAACAAATGAAAGACAGACTCCTAAATAAAAAAGTCACTAAAAGAAGACACAAATTAAACTTGAATTTCAGTCTTCAAAGGGACAGCTTTTGTCTGGGATCCCTTCTTCATACATGCATCTGCAAGAAGGGAACTCACACTGGTCTCAAGTCTAAAAGAGCAAAGCCTGTGAAAGAGCTCTGTATGGATATGGATATATGGTAACTGTGTGCAATATTAGGTAGTAGGGGAAAGGAGAAACACAACTCAGTTCACCTGAACAAACTCTGAAGAACCTATACTTGACAGTGGTTAAGTAGTTGCTAGTTTGTATAATGATGGGTCTCTGTCTTTGCCTTGCCTTCCATTATTTAAAACACCCTAAAAATAGGAGAAAACTGTGCAAGCTATATTTCTGCTCACACCAGTAAGTTCTGCCTGACCTCCATTTACTTTTATGCATTTAATTTTACCTGAAATATTCTACAGGTCTACCATACCTGAAAGCTGACTTGCGCTTCCTACTTCTTTAAGCAAAAAGGGAAAGCAATCAACTCACACTGCTTTTGCTTGTCTCCCAAGAAAAACTGCTCAGAAAAAGGTATCTCCACCTATAACTCTCAGGCTAACTGAGTTTGGGTCTGAACGAGGCAGAGCAACAGCCACGCTTTGGTCCATTTCATTGCTACCACTGTCATTTAATTTACCTGTGGCTAAGCCTGCTAAGGTTTCCATTGTGCAGTGCTACAGAGCACGCTTAAAGATTTTATAAAATGAACCAAGGGAGACTGCATTTGTCCTTTAGCGTAGGTGGGAGGGACAGAGGGGGAAAACCTACATGCAATCCCTTTCAGCTTTAACCACAGAAGGCTGTGACCTGAAAACAACCTGGCAGCCACCCCTTGCACTAAGCTTGGACGTGTGGGTAGAATCAAGCTCGGCGACAACGCTCAGCTCTCCACTGAGGAGATATTTAAAAAAAATAATTATTCTTAAGTTGTTGGCCCCGGAGGAAGGCTGATCTCTCTTCAAAAACGGCATCCTGCCCTAAGCTTCAAGGGCGCACAGCGTCGAAAAGCTCTTGCTCTCCTCATGAA